ACGAATCTCAGCTCTTGACATTCGATAAGTCATTACCCCAAAGTCTTCAGTAGAACGGAGTATGTGACCGGAAAACGCCTGCTGGGAGTTCAGTCCACTTGGTAACTGACGACACACGCCTCCTCCCGGTAACTGACGACACACGCCTCCTCCCGGTAACTGACGACTCACGCCTCCTCCCGGTAACTGACGACACACGCCTCCTCCCGGTAACTGACGACACACGCCTCCTCCCGGTAACTGACGACACACGCCTCCTCCCGGTAACTGACGACTCACGCCTCCTCCCGGTAACTGACGACGCACGCCTCCTCCCGGTAACTGACGACACACGCCTCCTCCCGGTAACTGACGACTCACGCCTCCTCCCGGTAACTGACGACGCACACCCACAACCAATCATTCAGTGTGCCAGCCAGGACCACTTTAGGCTGGGTTTGTCATTGAGGTCGCCAAACACCTATTGATTCGTCCATAACTCATACCTGGGCAACCATCTGCAGTAGGTAGGATGGTCAGACTCAGGTGGTCGCCCTTCACACTTAACGCTACACCATCTGTCTTACGTGTTGGGTACTGGTAAGAGCAGCGGCTTTTGAAATTCTAATGTAAAGTGTAAAGTTAGAAGACTCATACTCAGCTAAAGAAATAGTTTACTTAAGTGACTCGTAATAAGTATCCACTTTCGAGTTTTTGTTCCTTGAAGAAAACCTATTAATCTCAGATCAGTGTTGCATACCTGGTGTTAGTTATCCTCTTGTAAACATGGATCTTATCATGGCGGCCGAGGAATCATCATCCACTTCTAGAAAAACTGGTAAAACGAACCAACCAAACCTAACGTAACTTAACCAGTGAAGTGTGTGTTATGTTGGTTAGTATGTTCTTCCCACATCCATGAGATAAATATCAGTTTTTCACATGAAGGTTTGAGTTCCCGTGTGAATGTTATTAAGAGATAGACATTCTACTGACCCCACAATCTTATGCAGTTCCTACCCGAATATTATCAAGACATTCACACTATCTCATCCTAACCGAGTGAATGTAAAGTATAAACTACACATTATCCTCACCGTAACGGCATCTAAGTTCATATCCTTGACGAGAAATATTTAGCTTTTCAGTGGAACAAGCTGTTATCAAATGAATGTTTACAGAACTCGCGTTTTATACAAATAATTAGAATGTTGAAAAGGTGACGGAACTTATCTATAGAATGTTTAACTTTACATATACTGAATGTTACTATCGCTTTAAATTCTTGCTGTGTGAATGATGAATTTCGATTTACCCGTAGGACCTGCAATTCCTTGAGGACAATGCCTAGACCCTCAAACCAGAGTCCTCAATGGGTTAATGTTAAAGTCGTACGCGTATTATTGTTTGAATGTTAGTCTACTGAGTGTTCGAATGTGAGAGAGAAATCGGTGGAAAGTACATAGAAAGAAAATAGTGAAAAGAAAGCTGAAGGAAAGTAGTGGGCGATAAATGAGTTAAACAGAAGACCGTAGACTGATAAAACGATTGGAATCTGTCATTTATTAAGCGTCTCTCTTAACAGTAGTTTCTGAAACGATGTAACCTAGAATTTAGATTAAAAATAACTTAAAGAATAAATTGTATGAAATGGCTTAAAAAACCGGTCTTGAACATAATTTCAATCAATGCTGAAAAAAAAGGCCATTTTAGGAAGTTGGAAAACATGAATAGTGGAAACAGCATGAAGCTTTGTTGACATCGTTTTAAAAGATTGAGACCAGATGCCATAAATTTCTAGCCCACATTGTAGTTATGCAAATCACGATTGAGCTTGAAAATGTCGCTTAGAGATCGCCAATATATATCGCCAAACTACCTCCACGATATTATGAAAACTTCACCAAAATATGACCAAAGTTTTGCCGAAATATTGTATAAATGTTCTTGTTGTTCATTCGAGTCCCGCCAGCCGGCCTAGAGTGGATTATTATTATTATTGTTATTATTATTATCATTATTATTATTATTATTGGTAACTGTAGTCGTATATTATAAGTATTATAGTTTTTATTATCATTCTTGCTACCATCATCATCATCATCGCTTCAGACTCTCATTTGACAGTCAACTATAATCCCCTCAACATGGCCTTTGTGTTGCCGGTATCAGCACACAATATAATGAAGTGTACAGCACTACATCCTACCTACAGTGTCCCTTCCTGAATTTGTGTCAGTGAGATTGTGTGTGCTTCTGCGTGTGAGTGTAAGAGTATCTGTGTGTGTGTGTGTGTGTGTGTGTGTGTGTGTGTCCATTTGAATTTCAGTGTTACAATTTGTGTATTCACACACACACGCAGTATAGTGAAGAACATCCTATGGTCCTTCATGATAGTTTGTATCGTAAAACGTGTAACAGCACCAGCTCAAGCGAACGGCCGCCCGCCTTCGCTGGCACTGCCCCTGTCGTAAACGGCTTGTCAAATATTTTATTTTTTTTTATTATTATTTATTGGGCACTCCCCTACATCCTTGTGTAAGGTGAAGCGCAGAAGCGTTTACAGCGCCCAACAGGGAAGCATGCTAAGTTCATGCTTGCCTTTATGTCTCATGAGTCAAGGGCGTAGAAGCCTAAAGAGTCATTGGTTTATGTCATCAAGTTATTGGAAGCTCCAACAACTTGTCCCTGAATACAAATTCACAACTTTCGATTTACAACAGGTACCTACTTTACTGCTAGGTGAACAGGGACTAATGGGGGCTAGGAAGTATGTCCAAACAACTTCCACCGGCCCGGGAATCGAACCCGTGACATCTCGCTTGCGAAGGCAAGTGCGGTACCACTCTACCACCAGCACCCCCCGGCTTGTCAAATGAACTCCCAAATGGTCGCTGGGTTAAATAATGCTTAACCAGATCTTTGAGAACAATTGTATAAAATTTCATCCTTAAGGGTTTTAAACCATCATCTTGAAAGAATTAAACACCCTCAAAGGTTTAAACCATCGTCCTCAACGGTTGAAACCATCGTCATCAAGGAGTTAAACCATCGTCCTTACAGGGTTAAACCATCTTCCTCAAAGGTTTAAACCATCGTTCTCAATTGTTTAAACCATCGTCCTTAAAGAGTTTAAAGCATCGTCCTCAAGGGGTTAGATCATCTTCCTCGATGAGTTAAACTATCGTTGTTAAATAGTTTAAACCATCGTCCTTAAAGGGTTTAAACCATCGTCCTCAAATGTTTAAACCATCGACCTCAAATGTTTAAACCATTATTCTTAAAGGGTTTAAGCCATCGTCCTCAAATGTTTAAACCATCGACCTCAAATGTTTAAACCATCGTCCTTAAAGGGTTAAATAATTGTCCTCAAGGGGTTAAACCATCGACCTCAAATGTTTAAACCATCGTCCTTAAAGGGTTTAAACCATCGTCCTCAAATGTTTAAACCATCGACCTCAAATGTTTAAACCATTGTTCTTAAAGGGTTTAAGCCATCGTCCTCAAATGTTTAAACCATCGTCCTCAAATGTTTAAACCATCGTCCTTAAAGGGTTAAATAATTGTCCTCGAGGGGTTAAATCATCGTCCTCAAAGGTTTGAACCATCGTCCTCAAATGTTAAACCATCGACCTCAAATGTTTAAACCATCGTCCTTAAAGGGTTAAACCATCGGTGAGCTAGTTTTGTCCTTCGAATAACCTACAGATAACACCACATGTATGAATTGTTTTGTAAATAGAGTAGTGTACGAGTGGAACAAGTTACCATCATCATTAACTCGAATACGCTGGGTAGCTTCAAACAGAGGTTGGGTGGATATGTGAGCGATAGGGGTTGGGTGTATATGGGACTGCCCAGTATGGACCAATAGACCCACTGCAGTTTCCTCCATTCTTATGTTCTTATTGTTCTTATTAACTTGGTTCTCCGCCTGTCTGTCTGTCTGTCTGTCTGTCTGTATGATCTGTCAGTGTCTCTACCTGTTTGTCTGTCCGTGTGTTTACCTGCTTGTCTGTCTTTGAATGTAACTATATGTCTGTTTCGTGAATGTGTCTGTCTGTCTGTTTGTGCGCGTGGGTATCTGTTCTTGTGTGTCCGTTTTCCTGTCCTTGTGGGTTTGTCTGTTCTTATCTCTGTCTGTCTGTCTGTCTGTCTATCTATCTGTCTGTCTGTCTGTCTATCTGTCTGCCTGTTCTCAATTTCCCATTATCTCTTTTTACTCCCAAACTACAATTGTAGCGGATAATGTTGTGCTCTGAATTTGTGTAATAAAAGTTTTGCATTATCTTCCACTTAATTCGAGTGAGGTGACGGAAGAAGATTCATCGATTACGAAAACAAAATCTAATCAAGAGTGTTTTCTTCCAATATTGTTAAGAGATACATATACGGCGTCTCATGAAGGTCTTTTAAAACGCAGAACATACCAGACCAAATTTAATCTATCTAACCCTAACATAATATAATAATCGTAGACTATTTCTTATAGTTAATTCATCGTTCGTAGGTTACAGTAAATAGTATGTCGATTTTTCGTGACATACAGGACACCTATTGACCGAATGCCCCTATGGCACGAGAAGGAAACTGTTCAATCCTTCAAATATTATGACAAGGATTATTATTTCAATGTCTAAATTTCCTGGTAAGCCGTCTGTCCATTTGAAGACTGTCTTTAGTACCTCATGACAACAACTGTCTAGAACCTTTTAACTCATGACAACACCTGTTTAGAACCTTTTAACTCATGACAACACCTGTTTAGAACCTTTTAACTCTTGACAACACCTGTTTAGAACCTTTTAACTCTTGACAACACCTGTCTAGAACCTTTTAACTCATGACAACACCTGTTTAGAACCTTTTAACTCATGACAACACCTGTTTAGAACCTTTTAACTCTTGACAACACCTGTCTGGAACCTTTTAACTCTTGACAACACCTGTCTAGAACCTTTTAACTCATGACAACACCTGTAGAATTTATCAATGAAGCCCCACAACACTCAGGTACTCACCGTCTCCGCGATCTGCTGGGGTGCGTCCTGGAGCGACCCTAAGGGTTCTAGGGCCGTGTTGGGCAGGACGGGCCTCACCACCTCTAGATACTGGGGTCGTGGTGCCTGCTGGGGAACGCGTGCGGCTGCGGACGCCACCAGCAGGAGGGGCAGCAGGAGGGGCAGCAGGAGGGGAAGACTGGTGGCGGTCGTTGTCGCTGTCCCACTGGTTCCTACCCTGACGAACATGATGGCTCACGGAGAACTGTGGCAGTCTACGGGGCGTCACGCCGTATTGTAGTAGAGGACGGCAGCTAGGCCACGCCCACACGCCACCCAACAAGCCACGCCCCCGTCGCCGAAGCTCCCGCCCCTGCACGTCTTGCGCAACAGGTGGTGAGCGTGGCCAGTCTGGCACACGCAGGGTATGGGTCGGTGTGGGCGACCTCTAGCCTGGCGAATGTATGTCGCAGCCTGTGTTCTAGTAATAGTGCCTCTCTCCTAACCTTAAATTTTCACTTATATATTAATTTATTAGATCAAATAAATATTAACGCCTATTGTACACAAATAGACAAACTATTCACTTTCCAAAAAGCATTTATACATTATCATCTTCTCTTTAAATACATAAACCCCTGAAATGACACCTTAAAGACAGCTTATCAACGTCACCTTTACTTATTTATCTCTGAGAACAACATTAAGATAAGACTGGCCATCACAAGTCCGTGTGAGGCAGAGTGAACACTTGATGTGAACATTACTCCCCGCTGGTATCGAACCCCTTAACCTAGAATCCGAGGCAAGATTTCCAAAATCATTTAACCCGCCGTGTCGACTAATTATGTACTAAGTGTAATTTTGAAATATTTTTTTTATAGTTGTTTACTTACGTTGTTTTTTCATTAAATATAATTCAAACATCTCCTTTTTTCAGCTACGAGACACAGGGCAAACTTAAGACACTTTCTTTCACGATAAAAAGAAAAAACTTCAAAAGGTCGCTGAAAAAATAGAAGAAAGACTCAGTTAGTCTGAAGCTAAAAGAATTCTCCCCCTTTGGTCAGACGGTCTCTGGTCTGCGAGGAACACAAAGACCCACCTGACTCACATGCCTGAAGCACCGCAGGTGACTCTCTCTCTCTCTAAAGCTTAGTCTAACAAAACAAACGCTACCACAGCCTTCAGAAGCAAGCTCGAAACAGCCCTTTAAGTACATTACACTGCGTTAAGTTGGGTTATTCCCAGATATTGTTTTACTGATCCGTTATGTTTCCCTGAGACAAAAATAAATATTTAGCGTGAATTAACTACAAACTTTAGCTGTTTTCTGCGTACCAACAAAAAGGTATCAAGTGTTTGTGTTCACATTAAGAGGATAACACCAGATAACACCTGTTTAAACTCTTTGTTAGTGAAAGGTTAAAACTTATTGTCAATGGGTACAGTCAAATGATAATCCTTTAAGTGTTAAACCTTCAAGCTCAGAACACTAAGCCACTGTCACCAAAGAGTTAAACCATTGTTCTCAAAGGGCAAAACCATCTTCATCAAAGTGTTAAATGATAGTACTCAAGGGTTAAATCATAATCCATTTAGGTTAAACCATTGTCATCAAAGGGTTATATCATAGTCCTGACATGATAGATAGATAGATAGATAGATAGATAGATAGATAGATATGATAAACTGTCGACCCCGACTAACTCCTTTAGCCAAAATATTAAAGAAAATAAAATCGTCCCGATAACATCCAACCCAATAGTTGTAAATTTCTTCCTCATACAATTTATACATACAGTAAGTATACACCATACTCGCCCCTGGAGCCAGCCGTGTTAGCTAGTGCTTTATAAGTCGACAATAAAAGACGCCTTGTACACCCAGGGGGGAATATCCGGGGAAGTTTTGGAGTATTTTATCCCGTGTTTACCGTCGATAGTCTTCTGTTTCTGAAGAATCAGCTGACACAAGACATGGCGATGTTCTTTTGTCTTTTGTTATTGTAATCAAAATAACACTTAGATAAGAAGAAAAAATAAATTAATGAATAAGTCAAAACATATGTAATAATTGAGGAAAAAATAAGGGAATTTATGTAAACGAGAATAAAATACCGAGGTATTTTCTATTCCCTAGGGAAACTTGGTATTTGTGCTGGTCAGAGCCGAGTATTATAGCAAGTCGATTCTGTTTTTGAATTTTGTTTCTCACTTGTGTTAAGTCAGCCTCAAATTCTCTCGCCTTTCCTCACTTGTCTGGTGGATGTTTTTCGCTCGAGATGTGTTTTGTTTTTCTTTTCGTAAGTGCAGGTTAGGTGATTGATTCTTGCTAACTCTTGTTTATCTTGTGTTTGGAATGACGTTGACAGATTTTAGTATCTTGATGTTGATGGGTTAATAATGTTTATGTCTTTGATGTGGTGATAGTGTTTTAATGTTTTAATTTGGGCACTTCATTCATCTCAGTGTAGTACTTGTATAGTTAGAGGTTTAAAGTGTAAATATATAAGTAATTTTTTTTTAAGGTTTTAGCTCAAGTCGTCCTGGATAAAACAAAAGTGATCACGTAAAGACTAGACACCTAGGTTCATTGTATGTATAAGAAGGTAAATTTAATAGTAGCGGTGTTAATATAGGTAATATGTTAACTTCTAAAACGTGTGTTAAGTTTTTTTTAACGCATTGAGTTAATTTTTACACACTGCCTTCTGTTATGTAGGTGATATGTAAGTTTGTGAAGCTGGTATGTTAACTTTCGTGATTATCTCTCTTGTTAATTTGTACAACCTGACAGGTTACGCTTATATTTATGAGTGATATATTAACTGATATATTTCAAAGCCAGGACTCGAACTAACCACATCTTTTTTAGCGAACAAAAATATGATTTAACGTCAAACTAAAAAATATTGAGAACAAATCTGAGAAAAGAAGAAAAATAATCCCACGAATCGATCATCTCATTCAAATTAAATTAAACAAGGGTTTAATTGGTGATTGAACTAAATGTTATCATCATACTCGCTTCAGAGTAACGTGTATGAGTAAAAAGGTTACTTTGTGTACATAAGTTTACTAGTGCTCATTATCTCTTCTTATACATCGTATCGTTGAGTCACTAAGATAAAATATTGTTGTTATCTCTCAGAAACTTGGGTGAACATTAATTTTCTTTGACTATTTACAACTCGTCTTAAGGGATAGTTCTTACCATATCACGTCCTTTTAGTTTCACCCGTGTATAGCTTCATTCGTTCCTCTCACAAAATAATTATGTTTAATTTGTTGATCTGTTTGTTTTTCTGTATAAAATTTACACCCAATACACCGTTTCTAGCTATTATGGATGATAAGGATAACCCGTTATTCAAGCGTTCTTGTTATAACTATAAGCTATACCTCTCGATCTCTTTATTTCACTCTTTCTTTCATTTAGTGTCGAACTCAGGCACCGAATATAGTCAATTTAATCAAGATACCTCCATGACCTGTACAAGTAATTTCTCCAGGGACATACGTCAGAGCTTTCTCGTATTTTTTTCCCCATTTTACCTCTGATCAACGACGTTGTTTTCTTATTTTCTGGGACAATTTCACCCAGGTTCATCATCTTAACTTCAGCGACTTGTTTAGTGTCAGGGTATTAACTTCAGCGACTTGTTTAGTGTCAGGGTATTAACTTCAGCGACTTGTTTAGTGTCAGGGTATTAACTTCAGCGACTTGTTTAGTGTCAGGGTGTTAACTTCAGCGACTTGTTTAGTGTCAGGGTATTAACTTCAGCGACTTGTTTAGTGTCAGGGTGTTAACTTCAGCGACTTGTTTAGTGTCAGGGTATTAACCTCAGCGAGTTTCCAAATCATATTTACAGCGTCAGCTAACCCTATGAACGCCTTTTCTGACTGATCTACTGAGAGATTTACTTTCCCGACAGCTCACACGTCACTGCCGCCAAGCGTATGATCACCTCCCCGTGTTAATGAAGCTAGGAGCAATTTTTGGTCACTCTTGTAAAATAAGTTAATAATTAGTATCACCTGAATATTAGATTAAGACTTTAGTTGTTGAGACACAGGCATACATAGAAATAACAAAACTTCATAACATTACCAGGTTTAATAAGTTTTACGAGATAGCTGAAATGGGCTTTGACTTGTGGCTCGACGATAGAAGAGATGGCGACCAAGCGAGCCTGGAATGAGCCACTCAGGGGAAGGAAATCAAGTGGAGAACAAAAGTTAATGTTGAGTGACCTGGTTGGGAGAGACATGCGAAATATTGGGATGAGGGTAGAGTAGGCTGAAGACAGGGACGTGGAGAAGACAATCATATTCAAGAATGGGTTAAAGGAAGAAGATGAGGGAGATAGCATATGAAACATCGAAATTCGTTACTGAAATATTAAAAAAAGTCGTTCACTAGGTAACAGCTAACAAGATAGAAAGCTTGTCAACGTCTAAACTGTCTTTAAAAAAAAAGATAATCAATCGTTATCAAGTAATTACGGACCACTAAGTCTTACTTCGTTATTGGCAAACTTGTGGAAAAAAATCCCCCATAACAAACTTGTGAAACCTTTATAAGATCACCATCTTATTAGACACTCACACAAGGTCTTGCTGGAAGAACTTTAATAATTTCTTTCACGTTATCTTCAATACGTACAACAGGACGAAAGCAGTAAACTCTCGCATTTACTGTAGACTCCCCAAACGGTTCTTCGCGAGAGACAAACAACAACTCATGCATAGACGTCTGTATGCATGAGTGGATGCCAACAAAAAATAAATGCTCACAGATACTCACAGCTGATCTTTTGGAAGGGGCTCAATAGCCTCTTCTCTACTCAGACGGTGGCTGTGTGTGGCGGATATTTGTGCCCTATAATTGTATACTTGTTGTTGATTTTTCCAGTATTTATCTAATTTTGCTTCAAACTTTTCCACCGTCTCCACATTCACTACCCACTCAGGTAACCCATTCCAGTTGTTGACAACCCTACTCGTGAACGAGTGTCTTCTGAGATTTAGCCTCGCTCTTGTTTTGTAGATCTTCTTTGAGTTCCCCCGGGTAGTGTCAGCCTCCCTCATCTGGAACATTCCTGCTGTACATGCCTGGTCATATATGCCACACACTATCTTGTATGTTTCCACTTGGTCCCCACGAGATCTTCTGTACGCCAGTGTCGGTAACTGTAATTTCCTTAGTCTTTCCTCATAAGATAAATCCTTGATCTGTGGTACTAGTTTGGTAGCCCTCCTCTGTACATTCTCTACTGCTT